TACTATTAGTTTCAATAACCAGACGGTAGTACTGCACATTAAAAGAATGTACTTCTCGCCTCCCAGACGTAATGACAATACATCGTTCTGCGAACTGGTGGTAAGAAATATAATTTTCCAAGATTTTGGCCCCGCAAACAGACAGCCATTTACGGGAATTTGACATCTTGGGTTCTAGAAAAACACTAAAGCAGATCAAAGCAGACCTGTAAACACATAATGTGAGGCAGAAGAAGTTGAGGGTTGATTATCAACACCATTGCCAGATGCTAGAACATACGACCCGTTAACATTAACGATAGGAATGCTTGGACCACTTTGAAGAACCTTAAGAGATATTTTAAAAAATTATAAAACTGGTGAACCTCAAATCTGCGGATAAGAATAGGTGGTCTGAATTATAATCGTGTGAACTTCTAAAATAAAGCTGTAACAAGATATCGGTGCTATAAACAATTTCGCGAGTCACAGAAAGTCGTACTTAAAATAAGTAAAAAAGAATGAAGATAAGATTCAATAACTACTTATTTAGGTAATAATAACTGAAAACTAAACGTAATCATTCTTAAGTCGCAAAACGACATTTTGACTTTACCTGCAAAGTAGCACCGTTCAACTGAATAGCCTGCTGTGTCCCAGGCAGTAATATAAATGATTTCGGTGCATCTCCACCCCCATCTGAATCTGACAGTGCAACAAACTGAAACTAAAAAGATGCGTAAGAGTAAGACCGACGTAGCTAACCAATATTTAAAACACAAAAAAGAACGCCACAAAGCATGAATGTTGAAGGAAAAAGAACTAAACAGATTTTTAAAATAAGAAAATTCTTGTAAAGAAATGTAACTGTACAATATTTCGAAAATAAGAACAACTGAATTAAACCTCACCTGTGAATTACTAACTGCACCATTTGAAGCTACAACGAACTGCTGACCTTCGGTGATCCTAAAAGAACAATCTAAAATGCTACTGGAAAACATTTGTAACCTTAAGAAACAAAATGATTTTATACAAAGCTCCTTACTTAGTCCTAAAAAAAATCCTTAATTCACTTCAAGCACTGTTGTATTAACCTCAGCAAAAAGCTATTTGTTCAAAACCAGTTTCCTTTCCTCCTCCTAATGGAAAAAAAGATAGAACACTCAGTGCAAATCCCCGCTAAATGACAACCTCCAATATCGACCTCTCAAAAACGAAAAAAAAAAAAAAAGCAATAAATAACCAGAGAAAGCGATGAAGCTTTTTCAAAATTAAAGACTAACTGTAAAAACAATGGCGTTAAGTCTGCTACGAAAATGCATGTTCACGTGAATGCAACAAAAAAAAAAAAATGTCCATTCATCTTGAAAGTTTTCCTCCATACTTCAGAGGCTGTATTTTATTCATGAAAAGAAGTAATTTCCATAAATCAAAATGTACTCAGTCCACATAAACTTCATTCTAGAAAAAAAAACCACTCTACGTCAACAAATTGATACGCTGAACATCAACACAGACAGTGCAGTAAGAAACAAAAAAATGCCACTCAACTATCAGGTACAGTCCAACTGTGTATAAATGTTCTGCTCCTAAAATTTCTAATAAAAACCATTTCCCCAATTAATTCACGCCCCTCGAGCAATGATTCGTTGGAATACATCAAAAAATTCAGCAAGAATCTGAATTTTGTGAACCGCCTACTAATCCGCATTTCACTTACATCTCATTGGACGTAGAGGAACCGCAAGTAGGCTGATTGGCCGCAACCATTTTTTCAATTGTCCAATCGCACTATCGATCGTTGCTAGCAATACCAATGGATGCCGAAACGCCGGCATGACCAGCCACGCCTTCTGCACTACAGTGGCTGTGCCGTGTTGAGCTCCGTTCCATCTCTTGCAGCATTAAAGCAATCAAAAAAAGGCTGTTCCAATGCACTGCCGCGTGATCAAAAAACGATTCAATGTTTATTGTCGCTTAAATCTAAACTGGTATTTTAGATTTTATGGTGTTGTAATGCTGGAAGAAATCCGTGGGTAACTGAGGGTTAAAATCTAATTTTTGTAATGAATCAGAGTATGTCCTATCAAAATGTGTATACAACTTTGGGTGAATAAGGAATTATATTTAAGATTTCTAGAATTGAGCCTGTAAAAAAAAAGTTATTTCCGCGGGTTAACAGGTAAGTTGTCCTGGTTTTTCTGAAACCCTCTACAGTTTAATTTCCTGCCGTATAAGTAATCACTTTATGTTCCAGATGAGGACCTAAATCTGCCTCAAAATCCTGCTTCATAGTAGGTTATCGGAATTAAACCTGACCTTTAAACAGGATTGAATTAACGTTGAATGTTCAACAACAGGTCCGCTTCTGGGGTCTCTGTCGTAGAAAGTAAGAAATGAAGGTTTATTCTTTGGTTATCTATTATATTTGATAAGTCTAATGCACTTGTCAGGTGTCCTTGATCAAGTTAGGAAAATTGAATTGTATGCACATGTATATCCCAATTATTCTGTTTCTGAATCTATTGCGTGTTCAGCATTTATCCGCGCTTGTTTCCGAAAGCAGTAATGATTTTAGCAAATTTGAAACTGCGGCAGTTAATCAAGTTGCTTCTGAGACTGGTTTTAAAAGCACTCCTCATTTTTACTAAAAAGCTTCCAAACTCTGATGGACAGGCAAAAATTCAAGAACTGTTTATTCCAAGTTTTGAAGATATCCGTTGACAGCGGCTGAACTTGGAGACAAATAAAACTTTACTATTCATATAAAATCTTCTTCACTCATTTAAGATTACATGGTAAGAAGAAAAGCCGAAAAAGCAAATACAAATACAAAGCACAAATATGACACAGAAAACAAAGCTTTTATGACTAATTCAATACGGTTGCAACAACTACCCTCCTTGCAGTGAAACCCAATTTTTGAAGCAAAAACCGAGGTATTTCAGTTGGCAAATCGGTATAAGTAATGAGGCAGGACTTCCCCAAATTGACCCATCCTCGAAAAGTGTTAACAAGTTCAAGTGTCTTCTAAAAACTAAAACAGATCACACTATTTACCACCCGGTGAAAAAATTCTGCTAAAAACCTCTTGAAGCTTAAGTGCAACCATAAAAGTGGATACTATGTCGCTAGCTTCATATAAACAACATAAGAACTTAGCAAGGGAATTTGGTAACACAACTTAAGTAACAAGGAAGAGTAAAGAAAAAAGTGGGAGCTTCAGAAGTTCTTTCTTCTACAAGCCATGGTTCCTTGAATGTTTTCCAAGAAACAAGACAGTTGTTAATCTTTGGATGTTCTTTCTTGAGAAAAAAAAATGAACAAGCCAGATCAAAAAAATTGGAACAACTTACTAGTCTTCATAAAATTTTGCACTAAATCTTTTCTTACATGAAGTCTTTGAAAACGCGCTTCCGAAGGATACCCGAAGGAGAAGTTAGACTTTAAATGAAGAAAAGTCTATACGTGAAAGATAGTTGAAAAAACAAAATGCGAACAGGATTGTTTGACATAGGCAAAGAAAAAAAGAAACCAAACAAACACCAGGAAATCTCGCTTTATGTGTCAAGCAGTTGACCAGGAGAAGCAGCAGGAGGTGATGGAGTACTGACCCCATTCGCTCCCGTATGCGCCATGCTCGCATAATTCCCACCTACTGCACTATTTGATGGACCAGCAAATCGACGTTCATCTTCGTTGTTTGTAGATAAACTCTGAAAATGACACTCAAACTCCTCCGTAATGTGATTGCTGTATTTGGAAGAATCTTGTTAAAAAAGGAAGGAATGGACAGTCAAAAACAAAGAGAAGCAAAACCGTAATATTAACAACGTTTGACGTGGAATCATGTAGACAAACATCCAAAGTAAGACGAAGAGACGGAAATCTAAATCAAAAATTTAAAACAACAACTCTGTAAAAAAAAACAACTTCGTTACTGCCTTTTCATATCATTTCAACTACTCCACAACGCTGCAACGTTACTCTCCCCTGTGAGAATTACAACGCCGGCAAAACTACAAAGTACAACAAATTATCTTGAAGACAAAAATACTAAATCAAACTTGTAGATATCAGAAGACTGCTTTAAAATCACAGCAAAAGAATACCAAATGAAAATTAGAATCATCAGCAATTACTATTAAATGACACAGCAAGTCCGACAGCAGAAAGATCGAGTACAAACGTTATAAATACTAGCATCACCAGTGAGTCTTTAAAACATCTAATAAAGCACAAAAACTTGCTTACAACCTTTCGAAGAAGTATTTACATCGAAGTACTATATCAACGACTTTTTGTTGCTCATTGGCGACGGTGATCTTTCCTTCAGTTCTGAGGAAGTAACATTACGATTACTGGTAAAAGAGGACCAACCAGCCACATTTGGTGAGTGAACACGTTCTCGGCTGTTTATCTATAATTAACACTTTGCTCTGATCTTTTAAAAATCCTCAGTATGGACTGGCTGTATGAATTAAACACTGCAAGGGACTTCTACACACTTCACTTTATAGAAGAATCTTGAAGAACAGAGGAGACTGCAAGTGAGATAAAACTGATGCAAATCCCGATTGTCTATTTTACTGTGAACAGTTTTCCTTGATACCTCACGGAGTTACTTCGAACATAACGAATTAACAAAGCTTATGGGACGCTTTCATCATGCAACCAGAAAACATATAATGTTAAACAATGTTAGAAAGTAATTTACACCAGGAAGCAATCACTGGTGGGATGTTGTTTCTCGTTATGTTGCATAAGCCAAAGCGATATTCCGGCAGAATTAGCGTTAGAAAAGCAAAGCTAAAACTTCTTAGCCACGAGGACTAAAATTTAAAACACGTCAGTTATATAAAAATAAGTGTATGCAACTTAAAGAGGGAGGTTATTAATATGAACCCAATCTAAAAATATAAAACTTCAACCAAGTCATCATGAAAAGTAATATTTACTAAAACAACGAAAGACAAAGCCAGTCAGCAAATACTTCCGGAAGAAATGAAATGAACATACATAAATTCTTGAATTCCATGTTAGTAAAACAATAGACAGTAGACGCGGATAACCTAAAGTTAGTTACAATGGCCTGTAAAACCTGACTATTCAGCCAAGCGCATTATGATTTTAAGTAGTTTAACATTCTTGAACTGATATAATATTGCAAAAGCTATACAAAATTGTAACCTTCAATAACAATCAAGAAACACCAACCGGTCGTGACGTCGGGTTTGAGTGCTGAAAAAGAGAAGCATTAAAATACACGTGGAAGATTTTAAAGACACGTTAAGCATAAAAGATTAATTTCCGAAGCAAGCTCAATTTTGAACCAAAAGGTAATGCTATTGAAGCCCAATATAATCAGCAAGCCCAAAGATACCAAAAAATAACGCTCACAGATGGAAAAGATTTACCTGCGTGTACTGTTGATATTGAGGATGAAAGTTATGAATTGCATCTTGCATTATGTCCTTCGGATTCATAGTTTCTTTCAAAGAACTGCTAATACTCTGTAAAGTCATTGGACGGCCGTCTGGATTGCTGTTCACTAAAGATTCACAATTTGTGGAAAAACGCGTGATTCCTTCCGTCATGTTGCAACAAAGCATAAAGTAATGCTCATGTAAATGCTTATCAGAAAATGTTAAACAAGAAACTTTTTCTAATGTTACAAACCACGCACTTGCACTGGCATCAATATACGCATTAACAGGGAACGCAAAACGAAGGGCAATTGCAGCAAAAAACATTTCTAGACATATAAGAAAGTTCTGCCATGCCGCCGCGACAGTACCCTTCGAGATAACTTCCTCATGTTGATCGTTGTAAGCTGGATCTATTGCAGAGGTTAAACTGAGCACCTCAATAAAGAAGCCTAAAAAACGTTTACTAACCGAGAATTAACATCCGCTTCAAAAAACTGAATAATACCTTGCCAAAAAGACAGAAATATAATTGATTTGACAGTAAGGAATTTCAGAACTGGTCGATATGGCGAAAGTAAATCTCGCGTAGCAGTGTAGAACAGGATTAAACCATAAAGAGCAATTGACACCGAAAAGTTGTAAACAATGGTTATATACAAGTATCCTTGGTCGGCGCTAGAAATATCATTTCATACACTCTTAGATTTCAAAATATCACTGCATTACAGCATAAAATCGTCTTTATAAACATCATATAATAGAACAGACCTCCAGTTCCCATCTTCATATTTGCCCAGCACCATTAGTAATAATGTAATGCCAGCCATTACGGGTTTAATAAAACAAAACTGTAATGTCGCTTGCTTGCAAAATCGAAGAAATCCAATTGTGTATTGTTTCCCAGCAAGACAACATGTTAACGTGTAATAGCTAGTTGGGCTGAATATAAAATAAAATTTGCTTATAAGGATAAAAAGTAAAAATACGGGTTGTTATTTGCATGTTTTTTTCAACAATAAATCTTATTCAAACTAAAAATTGTAAAGTAAAAAAATCAACCCCTATTTCTTACCGAATCGGTTTTCCTCTGATTTCCGCCATTATGTTACTCTCGCCACCCAGATATTCGTAACAAAGACTGAGGAAACAATATATGACGAAAGCTAAAATAAAAAAAGCATTACGGTAGAAAACTAAAGGCATCTAAAGTGAAAGATACTCTTGAAAAATAATTCACTAGTCGGAAAACCAGAAATCAAAGTTGTTCTTTCCAAAACTATGTCGCTGACTCAATCCTCATAAATGTTTGATGTGGCCAACACCGAAAACGTACTACCGTACAAGTTATTACTAAAAAACTGATTGAAGCCTGACTTACCTTCATAACAATCCCGAACTGCACTAAAATAAACATATGCATTGTTGGATAAGAACAGCAAGCTCAACCAAGAATCAAACGCGTACATAGGAACCATAAATAAGATGCGAACAATCCAACGTTGCTCTGAAGGGCATGAATACCATCTCAAGTGTTGATATATCTAAAGAACATGTTGACAGACTATTAATTTCTGAAGCAAAATAAAAAAAAAAACAGACAAAAACCTGAAATAGCCTAAGGAAGTAAATGTTAGATTTAATGGTAAGAAAATAGGAACTAAGAATGTAATTTTAGGTGATTCCTGCGAACGAAAAAAAAGTGAAACCGGAGCGAGGAAAAATCCAATAATAAACTACGTTGTGGAACATTAAATCTGTTAAAAGATTCAACTACACGAGTATGAATAGTTTCAACAAAATCAAATTAAGGCAGTGCTGCAAACAGATCATATTGTGTAAGATAAAACTAAATTTTGAGAATTATTAGCGCCAAAAACGATGGAGTACTTTTCAAGAAAAGGAAGATGCTAATGCTTTAGATAACCTTAAGTATTAAAATGACACAAAGAAGAATACGATTATGTTAGCCCGAAAATACCGTTAAAGAGAAACCTCGACAACATATTTCACATAAACAAGGTAAAAATATACTTGATATAGCGTGATAACTACTGCACCCCATGAGAACAGAGTGGCAAGTATACGAGCAAACCCGCTCCTCAAAAAGAGATCATCGACGAGTGGATACGACTGATTATCCATCCAACAAATTACTTTTTTGCTTATTTTATAAAACGGTGATCGGTTTTACTGTCATATACCCTAAAACTATCAACTATTTTCAGTACAACTGTACCAATTCTTCATTCAGAATTCAACGACACCGATAAATATTTTCTGCTATATCTGACAAAGAGGTGAAAATAAGGGAAAAAAAATGGCACGATACAACTGCTCGACAATGCACTGAAACTGAACTTTATCATAAAACAAAACAAAGCAGCAATGCGATTCTGTTTGACAAAGAATTAAAAACGGAAAAAATTAGCATTAATCGCTGAAAATATATCGTTGCGAAAAAATTCTCATTAAGGGGCAGAAATAAAATCAATTTAGATTTAATTAAAAAATTCCATTTTCCCCCTTAAAAACAGTAGAATTTCCAACTTACTATGCAGTGCGTGTATGTGTCTTCATCGCAAATCGCATCTAAGACCGCTTACATTTTTGAAAAACTTTTTGAAAACTCTATCATGTTTAAAACTGCATGTTCCACAAAAAATATTATGCCATCATATATACTAGAAAAAATAAAAAATTATTGAAAAAAACCGTCTTACTATTACAGCAACATTATTGAAGTAAAAATTTATGCTGAAGAAACGAGAGCGCTGTGTCAACTTTTTTTTCTTTCACAGAAAAAAAATTCCGACACAAGAAATGCGGAAAAAAACAGACTCAAACATAACGAACAATCGATCTGTGACACTAAATATTCATTCAACAGTACCGATCAGCAATGACGAGACCTCAGTCATGTTCAAGGAGGTTAAACAAAAAGGCTGACAAAATAAAAACGTGGAAAAAAATCAACTGAAAAAAAAAAAAAAAAAAAAGAATCTTAGTCACATGCTCACAAAAAACACTTTTGTGAGTGACGGCGAAATCTATGCTGGTGATGATGGTTGCGGTGGAACAATATCAACGACAGACAAAAAAATGCAGCTAGGGCATTGCGGAAGAAAAGATGAAGAAATCCAAAGGAATATGGGCAGAGCGTAAGCCATTCCCATTGCTATCTTCCTACCTCCCTTCCCCCATCTTGCTCTCCATCCCTCTCTACAACTCAAAAGTAAATTGTTTCAATAAAAAAAACTCAAATACCTGCATATATATATATATATATATATATATATATATATA